GTACGATAAGCATCAACCATTGTAAAGTGACGATGGATGCTCTGCAAAGCTTCGGAGCCGCACACAACTGACTTCTTTTGAATAACGAATAGGGCAGCCTAATGACCCTACATCTGGAAACATGGCCACCATAATACTTTGTATGTAAATTTCGCAAATAAAACAATTTCTTTTAATGAGCCACGAGCACTCAAGAAGCAGCCGCGAGACCTGAACTATCACATAAAGTAACAAAATGAATAAGGCCCCGACATGATGGGCCCCTATCACTGATACGTTCACTTCCAGTGGAAGCGCGGAAGTAATTGAGTTAAATATGCACAAGATGACAGCATTAATTATGCCCCGACCGAGGGGGGAGAGGAGAGACAAAAGCCAGATAAAAAGAGTTGAATGCGGTTTTCGGTTAAGGCAAAGCATACGCTGATGTACGTAAAGAATGCAACGAAAACATTAAAGAACCCACTCCAATAAAAGGCTTATAAATAAGTCAGCGGAACTCCACATATCAACATCATGGGAACTGACAACTGGTAAACGGCAACCGGCAACCGGCAACTGGCAACCGGCAACTGAGAACTGGCCCGCACTTAAACTTGCACCTCACAAGGGTTGTTCGAGCACTCTCTGATAAGTACCCAAGCCCAAACGCAACAAATTTGATAATGAACTATGAAATTTGGGTACTGAAAAAGTCTACCCTTTGGAATTATTTAGCCGCTTTTCACAACTGACAGACGCAGAATTTATTTGCTGTCATAAATATTAAAATAACAATTAATGTCGTTTACCCAACGGGTATGCAGGACTAACAAGAGTCTCGAAGATGGGTCATGTGCAAACTCAACGGCTGTTCAATAAATAATTCTTCATCTTTTAACTTTCATATGTCGTTATCAAGGACTAATGAAACACCGTTATTTAGCAGACTATACACAAAATTAATTTGCTACCTAAAATTTAAGCCATCCTAAGAATTCCTTGCAAATACATATTTGGGCCCAAGGTCCGTTTGACTATAATTATTGGTTACACTTACTAAATACTTACTAATGTCCCAATTCATTGACTAATTGCTTGGAAGCTGACATTTTTAACGTAGTTTTCTTATTTAAGAAAAGTGCACGTCAAAGTTGAATTGATAAAACCATCTTAAACCAATTGCAAGGATCTTTGTGAAAGTCCGTTACAGACGTTTCTTAATCTTTAAGGGACTTCCACACATATATCGATTGATTCTTCTATGAAATTTATTTCATATTTCATCAACAATAAGGCAAAGAGTCTCTTGTGAGACCGCACTTGAATTAAAACTTTCACATCGATGTCTTAGCCAATTTATCACCATAAACGCAGCCATTTATTTGATTTAAGCAATTTGTAAAATTTTAATGTGCTTTAGAATGAAATAAATCTCCGACTGTGAATTGAGAGGCTGATGTTGGGCCGAGGATGGCGCATGAGCGAAACGGGGGCACGTCCAGTGAAATAAATTAGGCACAGCTGTGCGGCAAATGGATGCGGGAGCGCTAGACGAAGCCTCTCCCGAGCGGACGTGTGCCTAATTTGGGAATGCGTGCTGAGGGGGCGAACATTGGGACAACATAACCATAAATAAATAAGACAAATAAAGTGTCTTGACACGGAAGTTTAGCACAGCACAGAGAATCGAATAAACTTCAATGCCTCCTCAATTGATCCGGCCACACACAGTTCAATTGCAGGGCACGACCCCAAAACTGGGGTGATGGCTGTGGATCGGGAATATTTCTGTGCCGTGCACTTGTTACTGTCAATTGCCATTTAGTTGTTGTGATTTGTGGGGGCCATGCAGAATATCAAATACAAATTGACAGCTGACACGTTACCGTCCTAGTCTCTAACATTCACTCCCTGCTTCAAGAGTTCTCCTTCCGCTCAATTTAAGTTAAGTAACTGACGTCATGCATTCCCCAAGTTTTTAGCAGGTGTTGAGAGTGCTTCCGACTTGCATTGCCATGATTTTCACTTATGTATACCCGCGCTCTAAACTCAACTTGTCGAACGACGTTGTCCGCAAGTAGTTCCTTCCGTTTCCATTAGTTGCCGTTGCCGTTGCCATCGTTGTTGTTCTTGGTGTTGTTAATGTTGTTGTTGTGGTTGCAAGTACTGTGGCTGCTACCATTGCTGTTGGTGCCAGCATTGCTGTTGTCATTGGCCCCAGACACGACACATTGAATGGCACCGAAACCAATTAATTTGTATGAATTGTGAGAGCTCTACATTATTCTGAACTGATTAGTTATGCAGCATGGCAGTAAACTCGTATTCAAATAAGCGCGAAAATAAATGAAAGGCAATGCCGACACCGTGCTGAATAAATAAGACCAAAAATTGAGTTACCAAAGTTCTCGAAGCTTAGATACTCTGTCAACTATGTAAATAATATATGTATTTATATTAAATTTATTATAATTTTATGCTGTGTCCCTTATTAACTAAACATAATAAACATTTCGCATCTACAACAAGGGATTTGACCCTGGATCTTTAATATTTAATCATTGTAAACTTTTTGAGGTCCACAAAGAAAACTTGTTGTTTATATCAATCAGCAGTCAATGAAATAAACATCGTCGCAGTCTTTTATAACAATTCGTTACTATGATATAAGGAACTGCCTTAAGATAGTGCTTAGATGGTAACAAGTTTCATGTACAATTCGGAGTACCCTTTCGCAGAAAGTGCATGGAAAATGACAAGCGCAGAAAAATTATGACTGTCGACCATTTTTGCATATGACTGTGTATAATTTCACAATTAATTATGAAATATGCCATATAAAAAATAACCATAAAGAAAAAGAGTGAGCAAAAAAAGAAAACTAAGCCAAGCAAGCAACAAGCATGAGGTTGGGGGGAGGGGAAATAAATGGGCACTACAAATTGTGCACTGCAGTCCGGGATCGGGAAAGAGAACGGGAACGGAAACGGGAACGGGTATAAGACCGGGGCCGGGACCTGGCCGGAGAGCTCTGTATAACTATGACTAAACAAAACGATACGAAATGACACGCTGTCAACGTGGTTGGGCCTACTGCTGGCCAAGTTGCTGAGTTGGTAGTTGGCAGTTGGCAGTTGGTAGTCGCCAAATTACAATAATAATAACAATAATAATGAAACAGTAGCAGCCACACGACAATGCGACAAAGTGGTAGTCTCAGTTCCAGTCCCGACCCGGTTGCGAGCGTGTTTAGAGTTATGCCATTGTTGGGCCTACACCGAACGAGTCAAACGACGATTAACGCTTGGCTGATTGCTGCTGCCGGGGCTCGAAGTGCTCGAAAAGCGCTGGTCATAAATTATATAATGAAATGAAAAATGTCTGCCAAAGGGGGGTTTTTTTTTTCATTGGGTCAGAGCCTGGAGGTCGGAACGGTTCGATTCAATTCGGTTTGGGTTAGTGTGGTTTGGTTTAGTTTGGTCTGTTTCTGTCGCTGTCTCGGCCGTTCCGTTGGTTACCAGTTTGGGCCGACTAGCTCTATGAGTTCACAGTTTTGCAGTAGGTCTTGCGTTTGGTTAACTTCCCGCCTCCCGCTTCCCACCACTGACTCCGACTTTGCCACCAATTCCAGATCCGACAGCGATGCATGGCATGCAATGCGTCATGAAGGTGGCCACTTTGGTAGTTGAAGTTGGGCTCGTATTATTAACTAGTTAGCAACATGCAAAGCCAAATGGTTGCGCTTTGGCAAACTGGTTGCCAGTTAGGAGTCACAAGTCGTACATCATCATCATCATAGTTGGACCCGGGGCTGGTTCATATGTCGCCCATTGCATGTCGCCAGGCATTTATGATTAACTGCGCTACATATTAACATTATCGTGCGACTTCACCTGGGCTTTCAATGGCCTATTCTGCAGACAGTTTGTATGCTAATTTGCGAGTACCCGTATTCACACTCGCACTCACACTCACACTCACACTGACTGAATGCTTTATTTAACTGTTATTTTAATTTATGGCAATTTTATGCGAGTGCGCAGCAATGCTGAAGTTGCTCGGCTCTCAAATCCGACCACATAATAATAAAAGCGGAAACTATTGTATTAAGTGTTTGATTTATGTTTTTAGTCAATTGTTTTATTTATGAGCTTGCATTGCGCATTGTTCCGACTGCCTTTGTGGCAACCAGTTTAGGGAAGTGAACTTCGCTCCGGGGTCGCAAGCTAACAATTGAAGTTTATTTGTTTGCTCCCAACAGTGTAGAGAATTATTCTACGAGATTCTAGCTCAGCAAATATTCACGGAATGGGTAACAAATACGCTAGATTAAAAAGGGAAATGCCATATATATATCTTACAAGTACATAAAAAAGCAGATAAATCGGCTTTGGGACGAGGCACACCTTTTGCAAACAGACAACTGTCACATAAAAATATTTTAATCACTGCGACTTACTGCGACTTAAATAATATATGCGAAATAAATTATAAATTTATATCTGGTCATAAATTCAGTATGATATACGGTACACAAATGCATGAATTTGCCCTAATATCAAAAATTAGAGGAAATCTTTTCAGAGTGGGGTTTCAAGAATCTTTAATAATTATTGTTACGAAATTTGATGTATATAAACTACTTTGATCAAGCATCCCAATCCATTTTTCCATATAATTTATTTAAAAATTGAAAAGAATTTCCTATAATTGGTTATTTCTTGCTGTGTGACATTCACCAAATATGGAAATGCTATTCCTGTTTCTCAGACAACAAAGAACAGCTGCATTTTAAAATAATATAATTTTCAATTTATTGCAAGAAGCACACTATTTACTTTCTTGGTCATCATCATTCATCATTCTAGACAAGCCCAGGCAATTTTCTCACACTTTAAATTGACACATCATAGCGAGAAAATGAGCCCAAAAAGTCTGATAAATTAGATCCTGATGACTAAACATAAGTACTCCTGCACTTAGCCAAACTCACGATATTACTTGTTGTTTTCTTTTAGCTTACCAATATAATGACCAAAGTCGACATAGAGAACTGCGACTAGGGATCTACTGGAGAACTGAAACTGAAAATGGAAATGGAAACCAATCGGTCATTGTCAAGGCGAGTTGCACGCACGCACATTTCATCAATTAATTATACAAGTTTAGGATGAAAAATAAAAGAATATACTCACATAAGCCCAACCAGCCAATGAGCTTGCACAAAATATGAGAATATGGCAAAATATGAATATGTCTATTTATTTGTTTGTTTGTATGTGGCAACGTCATCAAAGTAATCATCCTGGGACTCTGACGAGCGACTGTCAGTTAAAGTGAGAGAGCAACAGCGACGAGTCCAAATGATTGCCTCCATGACGTGGCAGCTCTCTACCCCAGCCAACATCAGCGACATCATTTATCATCAACCTGCCTGTCAGTCAAGTCACTCGGTACAAAAAATTACCGCCCCCCCATCGAAGGAAGGAACGGACGCCAGCGCAGGACTAAGGACTGCGGACTCTGATGACTTGCCTGCTGCAGTGTGTTATCCTTGGGTGTGCTGTCAAAAAATTATTATGCCTATTAATTTTACCCATGCGGGCGTCGCCCCTTTATCCAGTTCTCTGTGTTGGTGGTAAATTACACAACAAAAAATTATGTTTGGCTTTTGCCAGCGCCAAATGGGCGTGCCTGTCTCCCTCTCTCTCTCTCTCTTACTCTCTCTCTTCTTCTCTCTGTCGCCGCTTAAGACTTATTTCGCCTCATTCATTTGGCAGTAATTTATCCTGTCATGCTGTCATTATGACAAACAAAAAAAAATAAATAATCGCTTAAAGCTGGGGAAAAAATTATTTATTGAAAATGATTATGCAAGGGGACTCTGCGAAGGTTCTGTAACGAGTGCTGGGACTTGTGGGTGGTTGGGTTTTTTGTTAATGATTCGATGACGCCTTGGACCTGACACATCGATCAAAAATCATTATGACTTATTTGGGTTGTGTGGATAAGAAAATATGGCGAAAGATTACACTCTAAAAAATTGTTTGGTAAAAATAAAAACAAATGATTTGGAAAAATGTTTACAAATGTATATATATATATTTCAGTCATGTCTAGGTTGTAAGTCTGATACTTTCGACTGGATTTTTGGTAGCTAACACTCACATAGGTAAGTTTACAGGGTATATGTGCTCGTGTAATATAAACACAAGTATTTCAGCTGCGTTGGACATGCAGCTATCGTTTCAATGTTTTCAATAACTAATCAATCTTAAGTTTGACTTGATGTCTGCGCTGCACGCGATGACTTATTTCGGGTAGTGTTTTTCGCAGCCAGAACAGCAAGAAAAACAGCAAAACTTTTTCAGAACTCGCTCTGTAATCGACAACAGTAAAGCAAGTGCCAACTTTTTTGCTGGCTCACATCAATCAGCCTGGGGTGGAAACGTAAGCTCACGTCACTCAGCCAGACAGTCCTTCAACCAGCGAATTGGCGGGGTAAAGATGGAGGCGGAGACAGGGAGAGCAACAGAAGGATAAAGTTGGGCAAGGGGGTTGAACTTTTGGTGTTGACAGCCGGAATACAAAATGCGGGCGAAATATGTCGATACGAATCAAGCGAAAACTCGACTCATTTTCACGTTACCCCAGCCATAATGAATGAAAGAATTGGTTGGAAAAAATGAAAAATTCGACTGCCAGGTCGAAGAGCTCAATTCTCTAGCCGGGCCTTGAGCTGAACTATAAATGCTAGACAATAAATAACCACAACTTAAGCATATTGCGGCTAGGAGTAGCCCGTGTAACCCTCTAACACACGGTGCGAATTCCCGCTGCACTCTCCGTGCACTCGCCACTCCGCACTCGGCACTCGCCACTCGCCACTCGCCTTCTACCGGCAGCTACTCTCTGTCAGCCATATTTCATTTTCATGCTCCCAATTGTTTTGCTTTTGACAAATGAGTGAGCCAGACAGCGAACGCTCCAGATAGAGACAGACTGCTCTGCCCTGGCGCAGTGTAGAAGTGAGCGAGTGTGTACAAGGCAAGTCATCAAAATAACAAATAACGACGACTAGGAAAATTGATTGCATGTCATTAATTTTCATTTCAAATTACGCTGCCACTATGTCTTGGTCTTGGTCTTGGTCGTGGACTTGCTGTTTGTTTCGGTACTCGTCCTGACTATGGCCGTATCAGGTCTGGGTCTTGGTTTGTCTTGCTTTTCGGCTTGGCTTCAGCCTGCAGCTGATACGTCAGTCAGTCAGCGTCAACCCGTCAATGGGCCAAAGTCAAAGTCGTGCCAAAGTCAGGCCACTGGTCAAATGTGTTAAGCTAAAGGAAGTCAAAATGCCATTGCCAGTTGATGTTGTTGCTCCCTTAGACTGCATATGACAAGTAATTCTTAATGCTGAGATTCCCAATGCTGCATAATTCAAACAGTTCAGAAATGTTTGTTAAAAGATAATAGAGCTTTCATTTGGTTCATCATATCTACTAGAAATTTCAAGTATCCGAAATGTTGTCAAAAGTGTAAAAACCTGTTAAAGAGTATTTCGTAAGTCAGTTTCCCATGTGTAACATTTCTATGAATGCTTGTTGCAATTGAATTTGGGAGTACCGACAGTTTTGCTGGCCGATTTGTAAATTATGAGCAAAGACGTCAACTGCCAACTGCATTCGCAACAAACTGCAACAATCCCAGTAGACATGGCCAGAGTTGCAGCTGCAGCTCCACCAGATAGATGTTGATGTGGATTTGGATATGGATGTGGATGTGGATGTGTATGTGGATGGGGCTACCTAAGGCTGTCCGTTGTTGAGTGCTGCAGCTAGAGCCAGAGCTAAGGCAGGAGTAGAGCTGCGGCCCGAGTCAGAGAACAGCAGCTAACTGACATTTGACTGTCAGATGCTGTTGGCTCTCATTCGTTAATGTCAGAAGCAAGAGTTAATCTCGCGTGCATTTCAAAACATCAGAGAGACAGCAAAGTGAGTGGAAATAAGAGCGAGAGAGAGAGAAAGAGAGAAGAAGAGAGAAAGAACTGCCTCGTCTAGGTACGCACTGGCCAGGAGGATATATTGTAATCAAGGTTTTGTTGGTTTTGTTTCGCAGTGTGGTTGGCGAAAGAGAAACAGCATCAGCAGTAGTAACTGACTGACTGACATACTGGCAACCACCAGCAGCAAGAACAACAGCAGCATCAGCATCAGCATCAGCAGCAACGTCAAGTGATGGATGCCTGAAAGCCAGCCTGCAAAATGAATGAATGACATGGCAGGCATGTGGACCGGGTGGCACAGACTCCAACTCCAACTCCAACTCAAACTCGACTGAGTCTGAGTCAAACTCGGACTCAGAGGCTACTCCACGCACGCAATATGTTCAATGATGACCAAACACAAACGTGTAGAGTGGAGGCCAACCGCGTGATAAGTTGCCTGGCCACTGACCAACTCGCCAACCAGCCAACCAGCCAACTGGCCAACTGGCCAAGAGAGGGCATCCCAACAGAGCAGTCTGTCAGCTGCATTTGCATATGGCTTGCATTCTGTGGGCCCCGGCATGCAAAATTGCTTTATGAATTATAAACAATGCCCGGGCCGAGGCTTGTTAGTTGCTTGTCTGCTTCATTGCCCCAGCACACAGTGTATATTTGTACTTTCAGACAATCCCCTTTTCATGCCCCACACTAACCCATTATCTCTGTCTCTCTCTATACCTCTTTCTCGCTGTCTGTCTATCTTTCGGTGGGGGTCTCATTGCACTGACAGTGATTATGTCGCCAAGTGACATCCATCAGCAGATGTGTAATTTATTGCCGTTGCCCATTGCCCGGCCAAGATTGCACCCAGTGTGTGTACGTGGCAAACTTGTCCGCCTTTGCGTCAGGCCCAATCGGACAGGGTGTGGTTATTTACAGGTACCATCGAGGAATCTGTGAATTCGTTCATATCGACACCATCGAAAGCTTAATACGCTTATCGAAGAAACTTAATTAAACCGGAACATACACACGCGGTGCTCTAATAATAATATTTACTTTATTTTATACTTTTATGTAACATATATTGCATCCAACCAGAAAACATATTTACATATATCACTATATATAAAACTCGTCCTCACTGACTACAGATTGGTAAACCGTAAGAGCTAGCAAGCTGACATTTTCACTGTAGTTAGCTTATGTAATGAAGACGGGATTTCGGGAAATTCTACTCGCATATATGGAAAATTAGCGAAAAGACTGTCACTAAGACCATATCGGTCTTCAACGAAGGATCAAAGAAATATTTGTAATTTGTTTCAATTGCCAAAACACTTTTGCAGTTGCTCAGCGTCAATAGAAGGGCGGGCAACATATTCGAGAGGCTAACAATATCAAAGAGTAAAATGCGTTTGCATATATAATACACTTCTATTAAATAAAAAATATATTGTTTAAGTAAAACGCATTTTTGCTTTCAAGCAATTTCCGCACTCTTTATAGCACTCGAGAAACGCAGAAGCAAACGCAATCAAATCGCGAGTGCCGGCAGCTCTCGAGTTAATGATATATACCCACTTCTGAGGCATTATCAGGCACATGATGGGTACTTTAAAGAGGGTTTCATACATCCGCGACAACAAAGCCGCGTTACCCCCTGTTCACGTTCACTGTTGAACATCTTTCGGGGCAACATTGTGTCAAGTTGGCAAGGCTTTAAATTCGCAAAGAAAGCAGCAGTCGAGGCAAACCCATTGAAATCCATCCAAAACTCTAACGCAACAAACCCTTTTAAATGCATACTTGGAATCAAATCAAAAGCATTCCCATGATAGGGGTTACAGAAAAAAACCAAAAAAAAAAAAAAAAACAAAGAAACACAACACAATGATGGCACTTAAGCGCGGTTTTCAAGTACTGAAGTGACTGACAACCTTCCCTGAGTTTCCTTGGCAATGATTCAATTTTAGAATTTGAGTTGCAACTGTGAAAACAATTAAACTCTGGACACAAAATATTTGGCTTGCGCAAAAGTCCGCGTTTGAGTTCCATGTTTGATGTCATAAATCCCTTAACAATGCCTTAATGCCTCTGACTGGCTGACTGGTTGTCCCCAAGGTATTTCAAGTGTCGCATTATCTGCGCATTTATCAACAACCCTATGGCCGAGCCCCTAACAGCAGCCCGACCAGTTGCAGATGTGCTTTTTTCCCTTTTAATGACATGTTGGCAGTTCTTTTCTCTTTTAAATATACATA